TGTCTACTGTTCTACTTTTCTTAGTGGGCACAAGTATTGTCACCGTCGCTAGTTCATGATTGCAAATTGATTTTTTGCCAACATCAATTTGAGGGGGATGTCAATGAGATTGAATAAGATTACGGAGATCGTAGAAGATTATGATTATATTATCATTATAATTGTACCATATATAGATAGATTGCTTTTACCATATTTAGTTATGTTTTTTGTTCTAGATAATGAGAGAATCCCTGACATAGAGGGGCATCGAGTCTTTTATTGAGTATATTTGACATCAGTGTAGTGTTTCCTCTAATAAACCACTTCAGGCTATTTCTGGAAAATGGATATCTGCTATGCAATTTTATATTTCTTTACCAGTTTCATTCTGATTTCCTATGCATTGATTTTAATACCATTGTCCAAAGAAATCTTTTCTTTCCTTTTTTTCATTTATTCTACAAGTTTTTAGTATAAGAAGATATGCATGGTAGCAATCAAACAATACAATTAAAAAAGAGGTCTTTGTACATCTAAACAATGACAATGGACATTATATTGGCTGCACAATATTCTGCTTTATGCTAAATGGGAAAACAGAGAAATTCATTTGTAATGTTACTTTGAAATCTTGGATATTTATAGTGCTATTAGCGCGGGACCTAATTGATGACTTCAGTCTTCCGATCACTGGAAAAAGGGTGACTTCAACTGTCGTAATGGTCGCATACCATAGACAAAAAAATAAAATTAAAAAATTTCAAAAGTCAGATGATAAGCTTTCAGCTATAGAAGCAGAATATTGACAGTTCCCGAAGTAGAATTTTTTTCTTTTCAAATATATGCAAAAATGTACCCCCTCTATATTTACTTTAAACCCTTGTTTGACGCTGAAAATGCCATGAAATTTGATTATAATCACCTTGCCTCCTATGGCATTCATAATTGGACTATGCTACATGTACTACATGTAATACTACATGGTTTACTACATCGCCAAGTGGCGGCGCCCTATTGGCGATGTAGTAATTCATGTAGTACATTTTGTAGTACATATAGTTTAATCCTTCATAATTTTGCACCTTAACTGTCAAGTTAAGGGCAAGTGATTGAATTGGAACTGCTCCATGCTAATATATAATTAACCAGCCTTCAGATTCGTATCTGTTGAAACTGAAAGAATATTAACTAGCCTAATATCAGTTAGTGTGAAGTTGTCGAAATTGTGAAATATTTATAAGAATCGGTTATTTAAAAAAATGGCTGTCAGATATCTAATACTGATGTATTGTGTTATATCTGACTTTGTGTCCATGAATATATGCAGGACCAGAGTCTCTTTTCCCCAGAAAGTTTTCTTTTGCCAAGCAAAGTACAGTAAGCTATTAAAACTCTTAACATACCCAATGTGCAAGCCTGTTTTTACCATTTTTTCCCAAAATGATGTATTTTTCTTGATTGATTGACAGGTGATTCTGGAATAGAAGGAAAATTCAGCTTAAGGGTGGTTTCTCCGACTTTGTTGGCTGCAGAGAAGGAAGAAGCCAAGGCTGTCCTAACCTTGTTCTTGAAGAAACAGGGTTTAAGTAATGTGGTGGCAGCAAGAACTATCAACAAGTCAGATGCTTTTGTTGATCATCTAGTTTCACGGCTCCATTCCATTCACAAGTCTCGCTACTTAGTAGGTTTGGGTTCTAATTTTGTTTCTCCCCATAGAGTACACTTGAAAGCAATAACTTTCTTTTGAATTCCATTGTCAACCTCACAAATATTTCTTGGCATAGGTCGGGAACTTTCAACTCTTGAGATCCGGGAAGCTCTCATTCCGTATCTCGAGACACTCCTTGAGGAGTTCGGAGGCATTTTGGTAGATGTTGTGGAAAACTTTCCAGGACCACCTGTTGAGGAAAGATCAGAAGAAAATGTTCAGAATCAAACTGTAATAGAAACTTCAGTTGCATCAGTTTCTCCTTCCGTTGCTCCTGACTCGAGGAAGTTAAGAGCCTTGGCTCGAGTTAGTGACATCAGCCCAACTGGGAAGCTACCTTCACACATTGTCTACCTTGTAGATCTCGGCATGGAACTTGAGGCAATCAGGGAAGTGATACGCAAGTTCCCCGCTTTTGCCTACTATAGTTTGGAGGGGAAAATCAAGCCAGTTGTTGAATTTCTTCTTGATCTAGGTGTGCCGAAATCAGACATACCCACCATCCTAACCAAAAGACCTCAGCTTTGTGGAATTAGTCTCACTGAAAATCTGATCCCCACCATGGCATTTCTTGAGGATTTAGGTGTGGATAAAAGACAGTGGGCAAAAGTTATCTATCGCTTTCCACCTCTTCTCACTTACAGCAGACAAAAACTAAAAGCAACCGTGGATTTTCTCTATGAGATGGGACTCTCAGCCGAGAATGTGGGTAAGGTTCTCACACGCTGCCCAAATATTATAAGTTACAGTGTGGAGGATAAGTTGCGACCAACTGCTGAGTATTTCCGTTCATTGGAGGTTGATGTTGCTGTACTTCTTCATCGATCTCCTCAAACATTTGGTCTTAGCATCGAGGCTAATTTGAAGCCAGTTACAGAATTTTTCCTCGAAAGGGGGTATAGTTTGAGGGATATTGCAACTATGATCTCAAGATATGGAGCATTGTATACTTTTAGCTTGCCGGACAACTTGATATCGAAATGGGGATTTTTCTTGACCATGGATTATCCAAGATCCGAGTTAGTTAAGTTTCCCCAGTATTTTGGTTACAGTTTAGAAGACAGGATCAAACCTCGATATGAAATTATGAGAAAATGTGGAGTCAAGTTACTACTGAACCAGTTGTTGTCTCTCTCAGAAGAAGACTTCAATAAACTTCTGAAGAAAAAAATGGAAAAAAATGCTTGATGATTGACTTCCATGCATTGTATGTAGTAGATACAGTTCAATATTAAAGGGTGTAGTATGCGTTCGTTGAAGATAAGAACTTCTTGATTCGGTTTCACTTCGATGATATGGTATTTAATTGTAATGAACTTTACATTAGCTGTATTTTCAAGACTTATCAAATATTTGAACAATTTTTGTTATAAACTGAAGAATGTTGGAAATTCAATTGCTGAATATTTTGCCTACAAAGGTCCACTGCTCACAGATGGACAGGCCATCCACCCCAGAAATATTTAAAATTCTAACCATAGACAATTCACAAAATAATATAAACATGTCACTGACATCTGATCAGAAAGGAGGCAAATGGTTCATGCTACCAAAAAAAAAAAAAACTTTAAAACTTAATTAATCACTTGAAGATCCATCATCATCTTCGTGCTCTCTTACAATGCTCTCAACAAACTTCTTCCTGATTTCATCAAGAACAGCTTGTCGGGATTGCTCTCCTCCACACTGGCCATCACTGAGCACGGGATCTGTCTGGCAGAGAACTAGAGCAACACCTGAAAGATTAAAATATGCAATTCCATCACATTTCAAGAGAAATTGAGCAACCTGAAAAAGTAGAAAGACATAAGAACCCTAAATGTCCGTTAGACTAAGAGGCAAACAAATTGAACCTCATTAAAGAGGTATTAACGAGTCTGTGAGGTATAATATGGTAAGCCTGTGTTATTTTCAGAACTGTCTTTCTTCTTTTCCTTTAAGTATTTTAATAATTTAACAAAACTACTAATAATAGCCCTTCAAATATTATTTCCCACTATTTTTCTTTACTCATCTCCCTTGCATTTCAGCCTATTCATTCTCAGAAGAATACCACATTTAACACAACAGGAACTCTGTTAGACCGTTAATCCAAATTGAGAACGCCAATAAAATTTAGTGAATTGAAGAATTATTTTCATCTATACCAGAACAAGTTCAAGTGCAACCAATCTGGTGCCGTTGCTGGAAACTATTGTTTTTGATAAGTTTAGTTAATTTTAGCTCTAATTTGAATTTCACAGTTTTTTTCTTTTTCTTTTTCGTTTAGTTCATTATATTAGAAAAACTTTACATTGTTTCTCGCTTCCTTTTTCAGGACATTGTATGCGAAGTTCGAGAACCGAGGTGATCTTACTCAATTTGACCCGAAGATCAATCGAACATTCAACTTTCGAAAAAGAAATTGTTGGAAACACATAAAAAACAAAAAGAGGAAGACATGATAGAGGAAAATCTAAATTAAATAGTCATCGAGGCTAATTTGGAAACAAGACAACCGAATGTGGCTACAGCTAATGAAAATGCAAGGCTAATGGAAGAGTATATGGTTCCGCCAATTGTGGAAAGACAGTCTAGCATAGTATATCCAGCATTTGGTCAGACAAACTTCCACCTGAGGACTGATGTGATTGACATTTTCCAAAACGCACTACAATTCTTTAGGAGAGCTACGGGGAATCTCAACGCTCGTATATCAAGATTTCTAGATATATGTGCAACTATCGAGTATCCAGGGGTGTTCGTGAAACAATCAAACTAAGGCTTTTCCCATACACATTAAGGGGACTCAGCCGAGAGTGGTTAGACACTTGTCCACCTCAGAACATAACTACATGGAACCAATTGAGTCAGAAATTACTTAACAAATATTTTTCGCCGAAAATGATTGCAAAGCTGAAGGACGAGATTACCACATTCTAACAACTGGACTCAGAATGCTATTAAAAGGCTTGGGAATGATACAAGGGTTTACTCATCCAATGCCCACAACACGGATTGCAGAAATAGCTTCAGGTGCAAAACTTTTACATTGGTCTGAATCCAATAAGGAGGGGTTAACGTAGACTCCGCATGCGATGGTTCTATCACAAAAAGAACCGCAGATCAAGTTTACCAAATCATGGAGGATCTGGCATTCACCAGTGCACTTTGGCCAACTGAAAGACGAGTGGAAAGAGAGCCGCTAGGGTATTCGAAGTTAATTCTTTGACAGCAATTTCAGCACAATTGGCATAATTGACACAGAAGGTAGATCAGATGAATACAGCCAAGACAATGGGACCGAAATGCAAACATGTGGAGGGAACCATGAGAGTGTTGATTATAATGTAGGGTCTCATTTTATTCAGACGGTGGAGGATGTGAACTACACTCAGAATTTTTAAAGGCAAAAGCACTATCCAAATCCTAATACCTATTACTCAAGCTGGAGAAATCATCCAAGTTTTCAGTGGAGTAACAATCAGGGAGTTCAGATTGCGCCACAGCAAACTACACCACCAGGTTTTCAGCAGACTAAAAATAAATCTTCGTTAGAAGATGTTACTAAATTGGCTGAAATATCTACCCAACACATGCAAAGAACAGATAAAACATTGCAAGTTCAACTAGGAAAATAAGATTGGACAAATAGCGAAAACACTTTCAAAGAGACTACCAAGAGCATTGCCCAGTGACACAGAGACAAATCCTAAATAGCTAGTAATGACAGTGAAGATTGTGAAGGAAGAACATATTAAGGCAATAACTACCCGCAGTGGAGTTC